GCTGCTTGTTAAATATTTTATTAACAATTTTATGTGCATTTTTATATTTCATTGGTATATTTAAAAAAATATATATTTTTAATTGTATTAGAAATTGCAATATTTGTAGACATATTTATGTTTTATTTTTTTTGTGTTTGAATATATTTCAACAAAAACCCATGGTCTTGAATAATTATCATTAAACATGGATTTTTTCACTACATGCAAATATCAGTGTTTCTTATATCCTTGTTGTATTGGGTGCAGACACACGTATTCATTCATTTGGGAAAGCATGCATGCAAGCGCAGTAGGTGCTAAAATAAACTGATCGTCAAAACTATACTATTATGATCTTCAACAATATCACTTGCAGCCTTCGTAGTGGTATTCGATTTGTCTTTGGAACATTAAATCATAACAGCCGGGACACAACCATTGTCACCAGAATGGTTGGTGGTAAAAACCATATATAGTATACACTTTTTTTTTCAACTTTCAATCAAACTTGCTTGTTATTTTCCATATTTAAATTACAACCATTTACTGATTCTGTATCACATTGCAGAAGGATAGTTGATATTGTCGGCGATCTTTCTCGAAAAAGTTTTCAGACTTTAAGCAAATTAATTGCATGATAAGAGTAATCTACACTTGAATGCAATAAATTAAGTGATCACAAGTGTATAATTAAATATAAAATTTTAACTATCAAATATAGTAGTACATGTACAATTTCTTATCATCGCTAAGAATATTCCTGTATGCAGACAGTGTTAAACAAAATGACAACAAATCTTGAAATCAAAATGGTTTTTATTGAATTTCTTTGATACAATCATGTAAATACTTGTACCTGAATTCCACTTCAAGCATGATGCTTTGCAGAAAATTTCTTCAAAATTAGTAAATCTATGAAATTGCACTGAAAGCACCATCCTCTTGCATTAAATTGGAATTTCATGTAACTTGGTGTTAAAAATGTACTGGTATTTTACATACATTGTATACAAGTAAATGTACATGTATACTAGTAATATAGTATTGGACCACACAATGCAACACCTAAAAAGTCACATTTCAGAGGTCCAGCATATTGCGATTGTTTACCAAAACTAAGTTGACATTCACAGAAACCATGAAAACTTGACAAGTCTCAGTTGTGTTAAAAATGAAAGATAGACATTACAGCAATTAACTATAAAAAAAGGGAGAAATTCAAGTCCAAAATCCAATCATTTGATTTTTGCAGAAGTTTGATCAGTGCATTTCATCAAGAATAAGTTATCTAACTGCCGCATTAAATCATATATATTATAGTACTGGGGAAAGACACTTTGCTACCTTTTCCAAATGGAATGCGTCCTGGAGCTTTTTTAGGCAATGAGCGTAGGACACTCGGCAGTTTTGGAAATAGTTTTTATTCTCATAAAATTCAAAAGTAGGTTTTAGATTAGAACAATGATGTCAATGACAGGAAGAACTTTGATAAAAATTTAATTGTATAGTTTGCATACGATAGAAATCTAGAATAAAAACTGTATTATATATATACATGTATAGAAATACTTGTATTTTATAATAAAATTGATTCGATAAAATTTGTTGCAATTCAACATTTCATTTCAGGTTACACACAGATGTGGTTTACTGTTAATTTATAAACAACATTTTGAAACTTAAATGGCAACTGGAAAAAACATTTTGTGGGGGACTCAGCCCTCTCTATACTAGTCTTGAAACACTGCCTCAATTTTGCTGGCAACTGAAAAAAACAAACATTTTGTGGGTTCTCAGCTATCTATACAAGTCTGAAAACGCTGGCTCAATTTCGCTGCAATTGAAAAAAACATTTTGTGGGTTCTCAGCCCTCTCTATTACTAGTCTGAAACAGCTGCCTCAATTTTGCTGGCAACTGAAAAAAAAACATATTTTGTGGGTTCTCAGCCCTCTCTATACTAGTCTTGAAACACTGCCTCAATTTTGCTGGCAACTGAAAAAAAAACAAACATTTTGTGGATTCTCAGCTATCTATACAAGTCTGAAAACGCTGGCTCAATTTTGCTGGCAATTGAAAAAAACATTTTGTGGGTTCTCAGCCCTCTCTATTCTAGTCTGGAAATGCTGCCTCAATTTTGCTGGCAACTGAAAAAACATTTTGTGGGTTCTCAGCCCTCTCTATTCTAGTCTGGAAACACTGCCTCAATTTTGCTGGCAACTGAAAAAAAACATTTTGTGGGTCCTCAGCTGTCTCTATACTAGCCAGGAAACGCTGCCTCAATTTTGCTCATTGATGCTGTAAATTTCTTTGTCTGTGTGTGACAACTATCAATCGATATAACTTGCATCTACTGTTCTGGACAGTAGCGTATTCAGATTAGCAGTGTGCTTCATGTATAATTATCATGTTGTGGTCACCCACTGACAGTACAAGTAAAATCAAAGACAGCATTTCCAGACTGTATGGAGAAGGCCTGAAATCAGTGTACTGCAATGAAAAAGTAATTCTGTTTCCGTCACAAAATGTGGCATGAAAACAAATTTACCAAACCAAAAATAATCCTATGAAAATCAAGTGTGTTTCTAATGCATAAGAACAGGCAATATAATGTATAATTACAGCAAATTAAAGCACTGATTCTATCAACCACTTGTGCCATCTTTATAACATAGACATTACTTGGTTAGTTACTAAAAAACACATGTCAGGTATTGCAATTTGTCATTAAGGGAAATTTTGATTGCATTTGACCGAAACAATCAACCCCGAAGATTTTTTTTTTAAAAAGTAAAAAGTGTAAACTATTTCTTTTGTTGATTCATCATTTTCTGTCTTCTTTTGGCACATCTCTCCATGCAGTTAGCAATGACAGCAGTC